GGAAGGAGCCTGGCTCTTTGGGAGGAGTGGGGGGTGGGGAGTCAGGTTTATGGAAACCCCTGCCTGCCCCCTTTAAAAACAGACATGGAGGTGAGTGTAGTCTCTGCAGAGGGTATAACACGAGCAAAGGCACTGAAGTAGGGGGTAATGTCTGAACCAGCTCCCACCTATGAAGTTCTGACCATGAGATGGGCCTCCAGCCGGCCTCACTGCATGTTTCGCTCAGTCCTACTCAACCCGGGAAGGTAGCCTCCTGCACATTAAAGGTGTCTTAAGAGGGAGGAAGGGAGGGTGGGAGACTCTAAAAGGAACCTGTGTAAAGTCTCACGGCTCCCAAGTGGCAGAGTTGGGGTGAGCACCCCAGTTTGATGTAGCCATGGAGGGATGAGTCCAAGGATGCTCAGAGCGGCTTTATTCATAACCCAAACCAGAAACAAACCACATGTCCAACAGTAAGAATGGGACCATGTGGTGTGGTCATACAATGCAATATAATTCATTCATAAAAAATAACTACAGCCCTGGCCGGTTTGGCTCAGTGGATTGAGAGTCGGGCTGCAGATGAAGGGTCCCAGGTTCAATTCCGGTCAAGGGCATGTCCCTTGGTTGTGGGCACATACTCAGTGGGGGGTGTGCAGGGGGCAGCTGATCGATGTTTCTCTCTCATCGATGTTTCTAACTCTCTATCCCTCTCCCTTCCTCTTTGTTGAAAATCAATAAAATATATTTCAAAAAAAATAACTACAGATAGAACATCATGGGTAAATCTCAACAATATTATGTTGAGTGAAAAACCACACACAAGACTAGGCACCATATGCTTCCGTTCACATGAACTTCAAAGAACAGGCCAAATGAACGTGGTGACAGAAATGACAAAGTGGCTGCCTGAGGGGACTGGCTGGTAGGGGGCACTCATGTCACATGTGCCTGTGTGGTCTGAATCCTGTGTAATGAGAATGTGTTTTTTTGTAAGCTCCCAAACAATAGACACTTTAAAAACAGGATTCTCAGTTTACAACACACACTCAGTCCAGTCCAGGTCAGAGGCCCTTACTGGACCTAATGATGGGCCAGGCCTCGGGATTGGGGGAGAGGCAGCTTCTATGTAGGAGAAGAGCAGAGGATGTACAGGCAGGGAGACCACCTGCTGTGTGGCCTTGGGAAAATCAAGGACCGTATCTGAGCCTTATTCTTCTCCTTCACAAACATATGACAGTATCTATGAGAGGGCAGTGAAGGAACAGATGTGGAGGTCTGGGCTGAGGTCATGCCTGGGTGTCATCTCACATGATCCCGGATCAGCCCCTTACGGTGGGTACCGTGAGCATCTCCGTTTTATAGAAGAGGAAACTGAGGCTCTGAGAGGTGGACTGGAAAGTCCAGGTCATACTAAGAGTAGGCAGCATGCAAATTCAGTCTGGGTCCCAGGTCAGAACCCTGAGCCCAGTCCTGTCTACTCCCTCCTGCCCACCCCGACCTGTGTCCAGATGGGGGTGTCACTGTCTAGACTTGACGGTCGCCTCTGTGGCTCCTGTGTTTGTCATTTGTCTTTCCCACTACAAGGACAGGTCCACCGGGCAGGGGCTTTGCTTTGCTCACTGCCATGTCTCAGCAACTACAACTGTGCCTGGCATAGAGCAGGTGCCACATGACCATTTGCTCAGTGAATTGGTGAAAAAAAAGAAAGCATTCCCTAGTGAAGAACCAAAGAAAGTGGCCTGGGGCTCATGGAGGTAAAGAGGCAGCCCTTCAAGGTCACAGGGCTGAGCAGGGCCTGGGCCAGATCCCTCACTCCCAGCAAGCCCCGCCTCTCCCAAATACAACAGCCCCGGTTTGTCCACACCGCTGTCCTCTGTCAGCGGAGACGCAGGAAGAAATCGGTCTGGTGCAGGAAGGGTCAGGACAAAAGGGAAGATGCTCCAGTGATTTCTGGAGGACTTCTGCCTGCAGTGCCGCCCATGCCTCAGTTTCTCAGTGGAAGATGAGCACCTGTCACCTGCTCACAGGAGGTGAAAAAGGATTCTGGGAACAAGCAGAGTTGGTCCTGCCTGCCTCTCTGCTCCCTCAGGAGGGGCTGGGCTGACCTGCAGTGCTGAGGTGCAGCCAGTCAAGCCTGTGCTTGGAGGAGAATGTGAGGAGGTCTGAGCTGGGAGGCCCCTGTTTTTCTGACACCATCACTATGGATTGGGTGGGAGCCCAGAGAAGAGGAGTCTGAACCTGGGGATTGCTCAGCTCAGGGCTGTCTCCTCCCTAAGCCCAGGGACACCAGGGGAGGTTCTGTCTTCCCCACTGGGTATCCGCTCCCATTACTGTGTTCTGGCCATAGGAACCCATGTTTCTACATGCACAAGATTGCCAGGTAATCCAAGCAGGGCTGCCAGTTCTGGCCACAGAAGTCTAGGAGAGGCCTATGGCCACTGGGTCCCACTAACTGCCACTGCTGGTCGGGGACCTGGCGGGCACCAGGCCTAGCTTCTCAGGAGCCAGATGAGGCCGATAGGAGAGGTGGAGCAGGAGGCAGCAGGTGTGGGAGCCGGAGCGTGGGAGCTGACAGCACAGCGTCTCTGCTATTAGACTCCGTGTGGCTCAGGAGCCTGGGGCCTGGGCCTCCAAACAAGAAAAGAGTCCTGCGAGGTGTCTAATCCCCACATCAGTCTAGGTAATTACCAGTTAAAGCCACTCTCACTGAGAGTTCTGCTAGTGCAATTAGTGTGTCAGAATAAAGAGGTCCCTCTGTCAGCTGACTGGGCCCGCCCACAGTTGGGCTTCCACGGAACGAGGACCAGCTTGTTGCTCCCACAGGCCTGAGATCTTATGGGACACAGAAATGGTGGAGGAAGAAGATGCGGTTTGGGATCCTCAGCCTAGATGATGACATGGACATGCTGTGTGGCCTGGGCTGGCCATTCAATCTCTCTGAGCCCATGAAACGAGGCTGGTAAAACAGCTTCGCATGGAGCTGCATGGGTGAAACAAGGAGTTCTAGAGCTATGGATGTTCAAATGCTGGTTTTCATTCTAAAAATTGGTGGAAATGCCTTTGCCTAGCTTTTAAAATCTGTTTCTGGTTTTCACGTGTGTAACAAACATGGGGACATTCCTGACACATCTGACCCAAGGCTGGGCAGTAGCTGGGAGGGACCTGAGTCAGCGGCGAGGCCCAGGTTCACCCTCAAAGAAGGGGCTGACTTTCTGCTCCTCCCAAGTATCAACCAGTCACACCACAACTCCGGGGATGCACTGGTCACTAGGGCCCTGTACAAGGAGGGGCCTGAGGCTCAGAGAGGGGCGGGAGTGGCCTAAGATCACACAGCAGAGCCAAGAGGGAGCCAGGTCTTCCTGAGCTCAGGGCCCTGCTTGATTCACAGCAGCAGCTCCCATTAGGGCTGTGCACGCCTTGGCCCAGGGGATGCCGGCTGAAGCAGCACATGGGCTGGGCGGTGACTCACTCTGGAAGATGGCTCCCTGGGGGGCATTTTCCCGGTGACTCCATCCACAGCTCGTCTTGGTCCGGAGCCCTGGGTCAGCTTGTCCCAAGTACAGAGCTCCAGCCTCAGTTCCACACACTCCCTGTCCCTAGTCCCCACCCTGCCCTCTAACCAGGAAGGCAGCATCCAGAGCCAGTGACCCAAGCCCTGTGCCTGGCCCTGGGCTCTCTGCAGAAGCGAACAGCTGCCTCCGACTGCTCACTGCCCCACCTCAGCCCACCGCCAGCCCTCCCTGGCTGCCCTCTTCCTGCCCCACTGCAGGAAGCAAATGGCTGAGGACCTCACAATTCCTGCTGCTGCTCCATCCCCTGGGTTCCTCTGCCTGGACCACTCTGAAAGCTCCCTCCACCCTGAGAGCCTGGTGCCCCGACAGCAGAAATGCCCTTAAGGACCCGTAGTCCCAACCTGGGCCTGCCTGGCTGGGCACGGAGAGGCCCTGCTGTCCTGAGCGTGACAATGCCTCTCCCAGCCTCACTGTCCTCCTCTGGGACGAATATCCTGGCTGTTCCCTGGGCTCTTGGGAGGACTGGGTGAGGCTGTAGGTGGGGGGAGGCTGGTGGCCTTGGCAAAGGTCCTCTCCCTGCTCCCAGCCCCTCAGCTCTCCCACCTCGAGCTGAGCTATAGTTCTTGGGCCCCCAGGTCCAGTCTGGTGTCTTTCTGAGCCCAGGCCCCTGCCCATCACTGGCCACAGACAGGAGGCAGAGGGGACAGGGGACAGATAGCCATGACTGCACAGTAAGGAGAGTTTAAAATGGAGAAGGATATTTCTGAGAACTTTAAGGGTAAATGGCTCCAGATCTGGCTGCAGCCGGGCTTTGCCTGGGAGAACAATGAGGGTCCACGCTGCCCACCGGGCCACTCCACAGGCCTGGACACTCGCTGCCTGTGAAGCCGTGTCCCAGGCTCCGGGCGTGGTGACGGGACCACAGACGCCCCCCTGAGCTGAGTCCAGGCCTTCCCACCGGACTGACCGCCACAGCGCCGCCTACAGGCTGCCGGGCGGCCGCTGTGGACCCAGGACCCGGGCTCTCCTCTCCCCGTCATCTTGGTGCTGTGACGGGCGTTCTGCCGTGAACTTTGTCCCTCTCCCCGGCTGCCCTATCTCAGCGACAGCATCACCGCTGTTTACTCATCGTCTCCGGGACCTGCCTGTCTTCCTGGCACTGCCCAGTGCACCTGCCGCCCCGGGATTCCGCCTCTGGGTGTGTTTGGCGGCGGTGACGGTACTTGCCCCGGGACTCCAATTCCTGCGTCCGCCCCGACGGCCCACGGCTCACCGGCCCGCCCCTCAGACCCGGCCCCGCGGACCCGGGGCTCCCGCTCCCCGCCGGGCACCGCTGTCCCCCTCACGGCCCCCCGGTCCCCGCCGGGCACCGCTGTCCAGGCTGGGCGCCGTCCCCGCCGCCGAGCTCCCGCCGAGGGTCCGCCCGGGGCGGACCGGCTCCCGCCCCGCACGCGCCGCCTCCGGAGCCCCGGCCCCGGGGTCCCGCCGCCCCGGAGCCGCACTCACCCACGTTGACGAAGCTCATGACCAGGTCGGCGCGGCCCAGGCGCCGCTCGCGGGGGCCGCCGTCCTCGTCGTCGTCGCCGGCCATGGCGTGGTAGAGGTCCAGCATGAAGAGCGGCGCGGACGCGGGCAGCCGGGCGGCGGCGGGCGGCGCGCGGGGCCGGGGGCGGCCGGGCAGCCCGAGCACCGCCAGGATCTCGCGCTGCAGGTCGCGGCGCTCGCGCGGGCCCAGGCGGCGGGGCGGGCCGCCGGGCGGGGGGCGCGGGCCGGGGCCGCCGCCGCTCAGCGCGCACAGCGCCAGCCCCAGCAGCCACAGCGGCCCGGGGCGCGCGGCCATGGCGGGCGGGGCGCCGCGCTCACCCGACGGGCATCCGCTGCGCCGCGGCCCGGGCGGAGGCTCCCCCGACGGCGCGCGGCGGCCGCGCTGGGGGTCGGGACGGACGGGCGGGAGTTGCCCGCGGCGGCAGCGCGGTCCCCGGAGAACCCGCGCGGCACCTGTCGCGGCGCTGGGCCGGCGGCGTGGACGCCAACACCGAGTCAGAAGCTCCTCGGGGACCGCGGGCCGCGGCCACTGTGTCTGCGCCGCCGCCGCGCAGTCCGGGCGCTCGGGGCGGTGCGGGCCCGCGAGCTCCCTCAGCACAACCCGCGGGCTCTGCCGCGCGCCCGTCGGCGGCCAGGTCCGGCGTCCGGCTTTCGGGTCCCGCCCAGGGCCTCGCCCCCTCCGGGACTGACCAATGGGGCGCGCGGAGGGGCGGGGCCAAGGCCGGGAACCCACCTACCCGGTGAGAGCCGGGCGCTGTCATTGCCCTTGTGGGCGGTGCGCCCGGGAGGTGCAACCTGGTGGGCGGTGGGCAGATCCGACCCGGACACGAGGACCAGCTGTCGGGTCGTCAGGGTCGTCCCGGGCGCCCTCGCAGCCGCTGGCCGCGCCATCGGGCGGTTCGGGGCCGCTGTCCGAGGGCTCAGGGTAGCGGCCTGGTCCGGAGAAACCAAGAACCTGCGCCCCCGCCAGGTGGAACCCTGAGTCTTGGTCTGGCCACCGGGTGGCCCGGCAGCCCCGCCTCTGTGCGCTGTGCAACCCCGGGATGGGAAACTAGGCCTCAGCGCCGTCGGGAAGGGCTCGGTGGGTGCCAGCCAGGCCCGGAGAGTGGGCGCCTTCTTCTGCCAGCACAGCTGGGCCCAGGATCCCCGCCACCGCAGCTCCTGGCCGGCCTCCCGGCGCCTTTCCGCTGTCCCCTTGCATATATTCCTGGGGCTTTTCCCTCCTTGGTGACAGCTCAGTCTCTGCTCCCAGTGTGCCCACCCACCCACCTGGCTCCCGCGTGCCCCAGCCCGCGTCCCAGAAGGGCCGCTCCGCTGGTCCAGCGGCTGCGCGGTCATCGCCAGCTGTGCCCTCTGAGGATCCCGTGATGCTAGAACCAGGAGAGGTGCACCGGCCCCACCCCAGCGGAGGCCTCTGGGGCCTTCTTCCTCAGGCCTGGGAACAGCCTTTGCGCATCTTAACTGTGAAGGTCCTTGACATCTTCCACCCTTGGCAATGCTGGGCATTATTGTTAATTATAGTAAATATATAATTAAATAAAACCCTGCCAACACGCAGGCAGCACAGCTCTCTGCTGTTGGGACGTGCACGTGGGGGCACTGCTGCCTGCTCCCTTCTTGAGCCCTCCCTCCCTTGGCTCCCAGGACCCCGCTCGCCTGCTTCTCTTCCTCCCCCTCCTGCCCGCTTCTTCAGCACGGACATCCCCTGGGCTCTGTCCACAGTCCTGCTCTCCCTTAGGCTTTCATCCTGGGACTTTAGAGGCCTTGAAGGTCGTGCCTGACTCCCCCATACATCCCAGCACAGACTCCACTCCTGGAGGTGAGACATTACATCCAGTCACTGGTCAGACTGGTCAGCCAGAAACCTGGGAGCCGGTGCAGGCGCCTCCCCCTGGTGGCAGTTTGTCTACTGACTCTGCCTTCTAACGCTCCGAGCCTTCCACCGCCCTCCTGCACCACGTGGTTCACTAGCATCTCCTTCCAACTGGCCTCCTTGGTTCTCATCTTATTCCCCACCTCTCCCTCCTCCCTCCTCCCTTCTCTCTCCTCCATCTTCCCTCGTCCCTCCTTCCTCCTCCCTCTTCCCTCCTCTTTCCTCCCTCCCCAGAATATATTTCTCAATAAAAATCAAATGTCCATGATCTTTTACTGCTAATAGCAGTTTCCCAAACTGGGGTGTTTGAGGTGTTTCCTACAAAAAGGGGTTTGGTAAACAGTGTTTGCTCATTTCCCCCAGGACAGCCTAAGGCAATCAACATTTTGTAAGCTAGGAAAAATCCTGCAGGAAAGAAAACTGCTTAGCTTTAACTCGGTGTCTTCCAAATGCATTGACTATGACTTTGGGGTTTTCTGAAGATCACATCTGGGGGACCAAGAGGGCACTATGTGATCAAGTGCCCAGTACTCAGTGGTCTGGCATCCGCCCACTGGTCCTTGCTGATGACCCCTGTTTATAATCTTTTTGTTTTGTTTTGTTTTAATAATTCTTTATTGTTGAAAGTATTACATGTGTCGCCCCCCCCCCGGTCCCCCCTCCCGCCTTCACCCCCCTATTGTCTGTGTCCATGAGCCATGCATTTATGCATACAAGGTCTTTGGTTGATTCCCTCTCCCCCCTTCCCTCCAAGATTCCGCACACTGTTCCATGCTTCCATGTCTCTGGATCCACTCTGTTCATCGGTTTATTTTGTTACTTCAATTCCACATATGAGTGAGATCATGTGGTTGTTTTTCTCTGACTGACTTATTTCAGAGTGCTAATGTTTTCTTTGTGAGGTAAGTATTTATTTCACTTTATGGCTGTATGTGTGTTTTCATTTTCTCCCGTCCATAGATCCCGTTCATAATAAGAGAAGCCATCTTTGATCACTTTAGCAAGTTCAGTTGTAATTTTTGCCTGAGTCACGTGGTTGCTTGTTCGATCTCCTCCAGGATGTTTTTTCATGTAAGGTGGTGTCCGAGTTACAATCAAAATCTTGTTTAAATCCTGGTCATCGATTTCATAATCTGAATCATTATCAGACCAATCAATAAATGTGTTTTTTTGTTGTTCTATTTGTTCCATCTTTTCATCATGTTTTTGTTCATCTGAAGGATAGAGTTGGTTTCCCTGTTCACAATCTTGTCTAGCCACTAAAAGTGTACACTTTGCTTCAGCCACATGGGATTACTGGGCCCCCTCACCTATCCTGCTGTTGACATTTCTGTTCATCAGCACATGTGGTTTTCTTTATGGAGAACATCCAGATCCCCTTTGCCTACCTGGCCCAGGATTCCATCTACAAAGAGGCTGTTGAAGCAACAACTTGTCTTCTCAGTGCTTTATGGGTAATTAAACCTCTCCTCCTCCCCCAGCTCTCTCATTTGATCAATCTGAAGGGCATTCATTTGTTCATGTGCTTGCTCCCTCCACTTCCCCTCCCTGCTGTGAACTTCTTGAAGCAATGATTGACCTTTGGACCCAGTGTCAGACTCATTTTAGGGTCTCAGTAAATATTCGCTGAGAAAGGAGTAGCTTCCAACCATCATGAGTATTTCCATTGAGAATGTTCATTATTGAGTGGGAGCTTTGAGCTGAAGCAGGGAGCTGGGTTGGCGTGTGGGGGTCAGTGGCCAGCCAGGCTCCATCTCTTAGCTATGTGACTGGTTTCCTTGCATTCCAGCCACAAATGCAAATCCACAGATTGTCACTACTGAAACCACAAGGTTACATTCATAATCTCCAAGATCTATTCTATATAGAATATAACAATGAAATAGCGATTTAAAATAATAGAACAGTTTTCCATAAGAAAGGTACTACAGGAATGGAGATTATCCAATATTATTACTGACACCTTTATCCCCATCTTGTGATCTGAGGACCTGTTTAATATTATCCTGTCCTGGGTTCCTTTGTGGTTGTTGTTGTTAATCCTCACCCGAGGATATTTTTTTCTATTGGTTTTCTTTATTTAAATATGTTTGTATTGATTTTAGGGTGAGAGAAATAGACAGATAGAAACATTGTTGAGAGAGGAACATCATCAAACAGATGCCTCCTGCACACCTTCTTCTGGGGACTAAGCCTACAACCCGGGCATGTGCCCCATGAATAGAACCAGCAGCTTCTTGGTTTCTAGGTTATCACTCAACCATTGAGCCACACTAGCCAGGCTTTCCATTGATTTTCAAGAGAGTGGACAGGAAGGGGAGAAACATCCATGTGAGAGAGGCACATCAATTGGTTGTCTCTCGCACTCTTGGCCAGGAATCAAGCCAGTCAACGAGGTACATGCCCTTGACAGGAATCAAACCTGAGACCTTTCAGTCCAAGATCCGAAACTCTAACCACTGAGAAAATCGGATAGTTCCTGTCTTAACTGTGTCAGACCCAGAGGCCACCATGGGGTAGACGCACAATAATGCCTCATTAAATGACTGCCAAAGGATCTAAAAGGTGACTCAGTCACTTTCCTGGCTGGATGTACCTAGGATGTTGGGAAAATCCAGCTCACCGTGTTCCCAAGGTGTGCTTACATGGTAAGAAGAAACAAATAAATATAACAAGATTGTTCTGTCTTCATGGGGAATCTATACCAAAAGGTTAGGTCACCTTCTATTAAAAAACTAAATGTTTCAATTAAAAGTCAGAGATTAGCCGAAACCGGTTTGGCTCGGTGGTAGAGCGTTGGTCTGCAGACTGAAAGGTCCCAGGTTCGATTCCAGTCAAGGGCATGTACATTGGTTGTGGGCACATCCCCGGTAGGGGGTGTGCAGGAGGCAGCTGGTCAATGTTTCTCTCTCATCAACGTTTCTCTCCCTTCCTCCTCTCTGTGAAATATCAATAAAAAAATTTAAAAAATTAAAAAATTAAAAAAATAAAAAGTCAGAGTTTACCCTGTTGGCATGGCTCAGTTGAGTATACAGCTGAGTGTATACCTATGAACCAGGAAGTCATAATTTGATTCCCAGTCAGGACACATGCCCAGGCTGCAAGTTCATTCCCAATGTGGGGCTTGCAGGAGGCAGACAATCAATATTCTCTCTCATCATTGATGTTTCTAATTCACTCCTTCTCCCTTCCGCTCTGAAATCAATTTATATATATATATATATATATATATATATATATATATATATATATATATATAAAGTTAGAGATTGTCTGATGAATTAGGGAGAAAAGAAAAGAAAGCAAGGCCCTGACCAATTTGGCTCAGTGGATAGAGCATCGACCTGCAGACTGAAGGGTCCCAGGTTAGATTCCGGTCAGGGGCATGTACCTTGGTTTCAGGCACATCCCCGGTGGGGGGTGTGCAGGAGGCAGCTGACCGATGTTTCTAACTCTCTACCCTTTCTCTTCCTCTCTGTAAAAAATCAATAAAATATGTTTAAAAAAAAAAAGAAAGCAAGAATAAATGACTAGCTGTTTGTAAGAAATGCACTGTAAATATAAAAACAAAGGTTAAAAGTAAATAGATAGGGAAAAAGATATATCACAAAAAATAAGAGTAAGAGGGCTGGAGAGGCTGTATTAATATCAGATAAAGTAGTCTTCAAGATAAAGAATGCTATCAACAGAGTAAAAAGGCAACCCACAGAATGGGAGAAGATATTTGCAAATCATATATCTGAGA